CCTTCTGGTAAGCAGGAGCAGACAGTCCTCAGGCTTGGTCTCTGTCATAGCTGTATCACAATCAGAAGCTGAGAAATCAAAGGTATGACCTGCCGTGGCCCGCATGTCAGGCCCAGTACTACTTCAACAATGCTGCTAGTGATGCCCTTATGTGCTGTGAGAGATGCACCCAGGAAATCTCCCCTTCGGACAGCTGGAAACATTCACTGCTTCAAACTAAAGAGCTGGAAGCCATTGAAAATACTGGAGAGGCCAGGACCAGGCTCCCAGCCTCACAGATATTTAGAACTAGACTTTTGGGCAAAGCCTGCCCTCAAGTACTCCAAAGCCTTATGAAGGGAAAAAGCATCAAGATCCTCTCTGCAGCCCAGCAGCAAGTCAGGACTGCATATGTGGCACCCGGTTCTCCAGCTCAGGGCAGACTTTACGGACTGTTTCCCTAGTGCAGTGGTTCTCAACCTTGTTAGGCTCAGGCACCTGTTAGAAAGTGCAAACTCTTAGTCTTCACTTGTTTGAGTACAGAAAAATATTAGAGTAATTCTTCTGTTGCAAAGAACTTTGCAGGACTGCAATAGGCCAACGTGGTTTTAAACACTCTGGATTTCTACTGGAAATCTCTGGGTTTATCTTGTGAATCATGTTAGCACTCCTACAACTGCTAACATTGTGTGGCACCCTGCAGCACTCCTGAAAGGATCTCAAGACACCCCCACAGTGCTGTGGCACCCAGTTTGAGAATTTTATCCTAGTGGATTCTGGATGTACAGCAGGTATAGCTGAAACAGATACCTTTGTCCGAATGCCCCTCTGCTGAACATGTCCTCCCATCAACTGTGGTTGTGTAGATTGATCTGGGGATGGAAAGGAATCGTGCATCATGGTGGCAGAGTAAATTAGCCTTGTATGGAAGCTCAGAGTTACTGGCAGAGTCTGGTCCCACTGTGTTGTGACAGTGAAAAGGCCTGGTTACAAGCAAGAAGGGAGTGGGGGACAGCCCTGGCACCTTCATGCTGAATTTAGTCTAATGCAGGGACAGCTCTGTCCAGAGACCTCAGATGATCCCACTCCACCACAACTCCCATTCTTGCCATACTGCCAGAAAAGTTACCTTAATTGTTTGCTGTCCACAGATGAAGCCAACAGCTCCCCAAATACAGAAAGGATTAAACTTGAATGGTCTCCTCTATCTACTGCAGGTCCTCTTCTTCCTCCCACTGTTGCTCTGCTTCAAGCTTTTCCTCCACCTTCCCCTCTCCCTCCTCAGTCGCAGTGTAGTGGGCTGTCAGTTGTTCAAGGAGGACCACTTTGGGCTGAAGAGCTTTCAGAATGCTCAACACAGGCCTCAGCACCCTCCCGAATGAGGTCCTCCTGAAGGCCTGAAATCAAAGAGAAAGCTTCTGAAGAGGACACCCCCTCAGAATCCTTTCTAAACCAGCTTTTCCTACAGGTCACAGAGTGAACTAAACCAAGCCCCTTTTAGAAGTGCATCTGGATCCATCCTATGAACTTCTGCTGAGCACCCAGAAAAATCAGGACTGTGCAATGACAAGTTTTGTTAAAAGAAAACTGCTTTGTCCATCTCTTGCATTTCAACTTCCTGTTTGAAAGCAGATCAGAAACAAACACTAAGGAGCCACTATGTGTGTCGACAATTAAGACCAAATACTTCTTCTAGGCCCCAGTTCAGGAAGGCACTTAAATGTACTTTTCTAAGCAGGTGCCATTAATTCCAACTGGTCACTAGTTCAGGCTTCAAGTTATACAAATACTGACATTCTTTGTCCTAAGCCCAAACACTGCAAATCACTGAAGCCTGTAGGCATGTCTATTGACTTTGGTTGGATTTCTGTATTTAAGTCTTTTCCTGGATCAGGGCTCTAGCAAGGTCACAAATGAAGGTGTTTTGTTTTTTTGTTAATCAATTCACACATGAACATGTCTGTGTCACAAACGGGTCAGTTCCTGCTCTCTAAGCAAAAACTCTGGTGTTGTGATGAGACCCAACTACTCAATCCCATGGGTTGCTAAATAAACTGGGTTTGGGTTGCCTGTCACTGTTTTCACATCTGGGTTACCTATATCCATTGCCTGGTTTACGTTCTGTGTCTGATATCCTTATTTTGGTCACCAGGACTCAGCAGTAGGATCTTGGAACCATTGTCCAAGCCATCCAAAACTCAGAAATTGGGCTTAGCAAAACAATTTCTTACACACCTTCTGTGCTTTACTTTGAAAGAGGATAAGAGTTGCAACTCTATGGAGAACAAGCTCATCACCATCCTCATCACTCTGGACACCCACACTGCAGTCCCCGTATTTATCAGTCTCTAGTTTTGACTCAAGCTTTTCAAGGGAGGGAAGGCCCCTCATACTGCCACACGTGGTCTTCTCTTGCTAGTAATCAAATGGCCCTTTTGGCTTGAAGAGCAGCTGCCTTTGAGCCAGTCTCTGCCATCAGTAAGCAAAGCAGAGAGCTGTAGCTGCCTTGTCCATATGCTTAACTCAAGGGATTCCAGCCCTCTTCTTACCCCTGGACAGATTTCTTGGAAAAAGAGTAGATTCAAGATTAGTGAATTTACTGACCACTAATCCAGAATCCCAGCTAGTGAGAGTCCTCCACACTGATGGCCCACTGCAGGCTCTCTAGGAGATGGTCCACCACCTCTATAAGAGTACTCTCCTTCCATAGTAAATGGGCTTTCAATGCCACATGAACATCTTAACAAAAGATCCAGTTAGAAGCAAAATGGCATTCACAAAACAGGATTGCCCCTGCCTTATTCTTTCCACTTACCTCCCCTGGTCTTACAACTGGTTGCCCTGTGCTACCCAGAAAGAAGTGACCATCTTCTTTTCTCTGTGCCTCATATCTCAGACTTTCATCTTCAAGACACTTCTCAGCCAGCGATGTTCTTAGGCCCCTTAGGCCACCCCTAGTTTGAGCAACAAATACTTCTTGCAGTTCTTCAAGAGGTTGTGGTTTCATGGAAATGACTCGTAAATGATCAGGCACCAAGACTGGAGCAATGGGTACATGTTTGATTCTAACATGAGAGATTATTTTCACAGGCCGCTCCTCTGTCTCTGTTGGGGTCTCGTTTGCACTTGAACCTGGGATTGCCTCTTCAGAGCCCCTGTCTTAGGCTCTGCACTAACAGACACTTGGGAAAGACCTTGGTCAGCAATTCTGTCTGGGTGCATCGGACTTTGGCTCAGTGTTGGAGGACTGCCACTAACAGCCTGTAAAAGGGGGCAACCAGAGAGTTCCTTGATTATTGCACTAGCCACTTCTTGAGGAAAAAGTGCATTGAAACCTGTTACATCACCATAAAGGCCTTGCTCAGATCCAGATTTTTGTAAAATATTCCTGGAAACAGAAAGAACAACTTGATTAACTGCTTCTTCATGTTCTGGGTGTAGATGTTGTTCTTCATCTGTAGTTGCCACAAGGCTGATTTTATGTTTGGACAGGTCTTGTTCCATGGCCTGTTTAAGGTTCTCAGCAATTTAATTCACTTTGGCTCTTGATAAACGTCTTCTGTACTTTGGGCTTCTGCCATCAGTTGAACTTAAGACTTTCGACAGGAATCTACTTACTATTCTTTCCACAAATGGCACAGGTACCACAGGAATACGTGGGTTTAAAGTTGGTTTTGGGATCTTCTTTCTCATGCCAAGATCAGCAGAGAGTTTTTCAACAATCCTAACACCTTCTGTTGTTGCAGATGAAGTAGGCAATGTCTCTTCCTCTGAACTGACCTGAAATTCAGGTTTGGCAACTTCTTTTGCTATTGAAGCAGCTATCCTATGAGCTAAAATATCTTTCCTATTTGTTAGGTCTCTGCATACAAAAATGTCAGAATCAGCATGGTCTCCAGTGCTTGTGCAAGCTGAATGGAAAAGGTCTCCCATAGCTTGGCTGTCTTCAGTGTGTAAAAATTCTCTTTCACCAATATGTTCATTCACATTCATCTGATGTTTTGACAGGAGTACTTGCAAACCATGTTGTATTTTTCTAGTTGCATTGTTCAGTAACAAAGTCTTTTCTGCATCCAAATCCGCAATGGTAAAAAGGGAAGAAAATGTTGACAAAAGACTTGCTGCTAGTTTTTCTATGATGAGAAGAACTATTTGACTAAGATAAGATGATAAACTGCTTGGATTATCTGAAGGCTCAGTAACATCTCCTAGCATATTTTCAATAATACTGTCAGCTTCAGCACAGTGGTGAAGTGGTAATTCTCCAGAAAGAGAGTTCTGCAGTGGATTCCCAGAAATCTCTTGGAAGACCAAGTCACAAAGAGCTTCAGAAATAATCATGCACCCACTTCTTAAACAATTCTGCATGTTGAATTTAGACTGAAACGGTGTCAAAAGCTTGTTATAGACTGAATCAGCAATTGTTTGAATCATATCATCCTCCCTGGAATGCAGATGTTCAATATGCTAGCTAGAAGAGTTCTCAACTTCAGAGATTTTTGCCATAACTTTACTGATTACCTTCATGTAAATCAAGTCAAATTCTGCAAGTTCTGTTTTCTTTTCTGTCAAGGAAGATGTGCTGGTGGCGGCATGGAGAATGTTAGATAAAAGCCTGCTGATTATATTTTCCAAAAATCTGTGGCATACCCGCAGAATAGATGCTGTGGGACTTTGGCATTGGGCGTTGCTTTTGGCAGCATCTTCTAAAAGCTTCTCATCAATTTCCCCAGGTTGTAGCAGTTTATGCAGAGCTGAAGAGGGTGCTTTTGCTAAGGGGTCTTCCTGTTGGTAATCAGTAATTTATCTCCTTATCAAAACACCTAAGCTCTCTGGTGACACTTTTGTTGCTTTTCATGTCTGCATCAACTGAGACTTTGGAAGCACTTTCTTGGAGAAGGTCAGATAAACTGGAGTGAATAATTTTGGCCGTCAATGTGTCTATGTCAGGGGAGAGATGCTGATCTTCAGAAGGCTGCAGGGCTGTGGCCTGACATATGGAAAGCTCATTTAACACTGAATCAACTACATCTGTGCTGATATGTGTCCTGAGCACATAGGTTTTGTGAAGGGACAAATTTTCTCATTAGTTCATCACAAATTTCTTTCAAAAAACCATAAGAATAAATATTGGTCAGTGACTGCAAGGGCTCAGGCTCAATTGCATATGTTGGCAGGGGCTTGCTGCGAGCTCCCTGCACTGCCTTATGTGGTACTTCCTCTTCGGGAAATATCTTTCTGGGTGATGAGAAGAAGGGCTTTCTTGCAAGCTGCCTGCCAGTCTGGGGTAGAGTTACTCTGAAGCAGACTGTCCTTGGCTTGGTTGGTATGTCCAGGGGGGACGTAGAGGGTTTGAGCCCCGGAGCTCCTGTGCAGTAACTCAGCTTCCTGATGCCCCCTGATGTGGGCTGTAAAAGCTCAGGGACTTGAAGCTGCCTTGGCATTTGCCCTTCCCTTTGTACTTGTTCCTCAGAACCTCTTCCCTGGACACTGATCAGTGAAAAGAATTTTCTGACCAAGCCTGTTTTAGGGTGATATTGTTTGAAGTCAGAAGAAATATCTTCCCTAATAAGATGGTTTTGTAATTTGCCATCTTTTCTTGTTGATTCATATTTAAAGTAAGTTTGGCTATGAGGAAATTTCTCTGCTTTGATAGCCTGCGTGGGATGCTCAAGCAAACCTCCCATGCACATGGTCTCCCTGCACAAACTAGAAATACTGTCAGCCTGATGAGGAGCTACCACTGTTGGTTCAGCCTCTGAAAGACTTTCTTCCCAAAACTCTCCGCCCAGAGACAGTGGCCTGCTGCTTGTTGGAGACAGGCCAGGTGACTGTTGAGAAAACAGTGGGGTTAGTTGCCCTCTACTCCCCCTCTTCTCACATCCTGGCGATCTGCTGGGTGTTCTCTTTTTGTCTGTGAAAACAAACTTTTTGGCATTGGCCTCCTCATCTCTCACGTCTCTCTCAGCTATTTTTCTCTCTTCATATTGTATTATTGTTGGGTATATGATGTCTGTTACCTCAGCCACAAACCACATCATTATATTTGTATTTTCATCATTGATTTCTTTGGTCTTGTTTTTCTGTAGCAGGAACAAATGACAAAGGACAATAAATGTGTTAATTAATTCCTTCATTCTCCCTTCTGTACATGGCAACAACTGTCTACTGGGTGCAATTCAAGCTTTTAGGACAAATAATAAAAGCCCCCCATGAAAAGTGGCATGCATCATCAGAGCCTTTCGGATAGGGTGGGATATAAATCTAACAGAATAAATACAGGAAATAAAGAAACAGCCAGTTCAGGAAACATCAGTGAAGGACAAGCTAAGACAAGCAGTGCTTCTCCTTGAGTTTGTTTCTGAAAGACCAACATGTAGTCTGAAAACTGTGGAAGAAAATTCTGACCATCTTGAAGCCCAGGGGAGGTTTTTCTCTAATTTCAGCAGGGCCGGGATTCCCCCACATAAGCCTAGAGATGACTTAATTTTGCCAGTTTAACCAATTACAAGCATCAAGGGGCTAGGAGTTGGATACACCTCTGGATGCACTCTGTGGGATGGACCCTGTGTCCAGAGACTCTGCCACATGCAGAGTGGGAAATGACAGGAAATTTCATTTCTGTGTTCCATATTTGAACCGGTGCTGAGGTCTGACATTTGGGCCATAGGTAGCAGAAGATGGGGAGGGCTAACAGGATTTGGCATCTGCAAACATGAGGCAGTGGTAGGGCCACAAGGCAGCCTGGCCATGGGCTTCTGGCAGCTGCAGCAGGTTGGGAGGGGTGCACAGGCAGTGGTAAGGGAGGGAGTGGGGCTGGGGCAGCCTGGGGCTAGAGGGGCAGGCACTACACAGCCAGTCAGGTGTGGGACTAAGCCATGAGCAGCTTGTCCAGGGGGCATGGCTCTTGCTGCTATGCATACCCCGAGAGGCGTGGAGGGGCTCTTCCTGGTGGTGGGGACCAGGCCAGGCAGGGCCACGCTCGGAGCAGACAGTAGCAGTGCAAGGAGGGAACTATGGAGGCAAGGCTAAAACCATCTCAAAATTTGCCATAGCCCCCCTGACCTCCCCTTCCAGCACCACTGCCGGCCACCAGAAGGGCCCGGTATGGCCCTGGCCCCATCGCACAGTGGCAGGGCAGCCTGCCCTGCCCCACACAGATCTGGGAGCACAGCCACCCCCATGCCCTCCCAGAGCACATGCACCAGCAGGACCCACCCTCCCTGCACCCCCTGGATGAGCTGCTCACAACTCTGTCCCATGCCCCACCCCAGCTGGGCAGAGCCCTGCCCCAGGCCCTGCCCCACTTGCTCCCCCCCAGGGCCCTTTTCACTCCCCTCACAGACTCACCTGCGGTAGGGGTGTAGGTGTACGTGCATGCATGTGCACACTCAGCACCCCCCCCACATGTTTTTCTTCCTTTGCCTATGATTTGGACTGTCTCTAACTGCCCCCCCCCACCCCACTCCCTGAGAAAGCACTTATCAACCAGCTCGCTTCTCCTTACAGAAAAGAAGCAATTAATTTGCAGACATTTTCTCCATCTCACACCAAAACTCAAAAGCTGAGTTCTCCCTGGGCAGTGCTACTCCCTGCTCTGTCTCCAGATGAGGCACCTAAACACTCTGTCTGCTGTGCAGCTTTTATGTTGGACTGCACAGGCTTCTGCTAACTAACGCCCCAGCCCCTAGTGCAAGAGGTAAAGCCGATAGGGTCCAGTTTCCTTCTGTGCTGTGTGCTGTATCCTGATTCTGCAAACATTGATGCAGCTCACTAAGAAACAAACATGGAAGCAGTCCTATTGAGCTTCCTGGGATCACAGACATTCTTGAAAGAAAGCATGTGCACATTGTTAGATTGGGGCTGTAGTCATCAACTTCTTTATAAAATCCTAAATAGAATTGCCAGTGAATCCATTGGCTACTATTGACTCTATCCATTTACTGATTATCTCGTTAAGGTATTATATATATATATATATATATATATATAAAATTGTACTGTGGCTTTGTTTTTAACTTTCATTGCTTTATGAAGCATGTGTTGTTTCTTTTTGCTCTGTTGCTTTCTCTGTCCATCCATCTGATGTTAAACCCTGGCTAAATCTCCTGAGAAACATGTAAATAGTTGGTTGTTATCCCTTCAGCTGCAACCAGTTTCTGCTCCACCCCCTTCCTTTACCTGGGTTTCTTTTTGCTAAAGCGATGGTAGCATTTTTTAACAGATTCCAGGAAGTTGCTAATACCATTTGTGAGCTATAGCTTGGATGTTTACAAACTGTTTTCAGTGGAGCATATTGCTGATGAATTAACACAGGCCACATCCTGTCTTTTGGAAGGCACAATGACAGTGGAAGGATGCACAGTTTCCCTTATGAGCCAGGTAGGGGACCATGCTCCATCTCTCTCTTTTCTGTGAGATGTTCTAAGTCACCTTCTCCACGCACTTTATAGTAAGGCCTTGCAGTGGGATGTTAGATATCCAATTGAGTGCTTGGATGCCTGGCAAGGAACCAAGAATGAAGAAAAATGGAGCTGGGACAAAGCCAAGTGAGAAGGAACCCAAAAGTAGAGATCAGGCTTGTTGGGGAGAGAGAATGGGCACAGGGCCCTGTGGTCACTAGAATGCACCTCTGTCCAGATCCTGGGATAAGCCTGAATATCCACGAGTCTCCCCACTCTTCTGGTGTCAGTAAATTTCTGTGAGCCTTACTTGTAAAGTGCACCCCTCCCTCCCCCTCACTCAGTGACTGAGTCAACTTAGATGGCAGAACCCACTCCTCCTAATTTCTTACCAAGTGCCATTTATTGCTCACTTTTCTCCTTGCCATGTACTGCTGCTTGGTCCTTATTTGCTGCCTTCCCTTTCTTGCTGAACACAGAGGGGCTTAGAGACAAAGATGTCTCTTTGTTGAATAGCTCTTGAAACTATTCCCCTAGGATTCTCCACTCCTATCAGTTGTATTCCTCGTTATCTTTAATTTGGGGGTGGGGGTTAGATGATTAAAAACACTGATCATGTGATGTGATCTCATGGCCATATAATTACAGGTCTAATCTCTCCCCCTTTGGCAGTATGGAATGTAATTGGATCACAATCACCTTGCGCTAAGCAACCACCTGGCCATCGTCTCCTAGCATCAAATGCTGTGCCCCATGATTGGTTATTAGGCCTGTGTGAAGTGACTAGTATTGGCTTTGGATTCAGATTTAGCCAATTCAGGGGACAGTGACTCGATTCAGTGACTTGAATCACTGTCCTGAATCGATTCAGCCGAATCTGATTTGGAGATTTGGCCACTGCCGAATCTCCAAATCAGACAGGCCCCATTCCTTGCCCGCTCTCCCAGCCCCATCAATGGCTACCCCACCTGGCCCTAGCTCCCGGCTCTTTAAAAATTTTTTTTTTTAAATCCCGGACTTACCGGCTCCTGCCAGGTGGGGGACAAACCCCGTTGCCCCTCCACTGCCCAACACTGTGTGGAGGGCTCTGCCATGAGCCTCCAAAAGCCCCAACAGCTGCTGCAGCAGCCAGTGAGTGGAGGCTTTTTTTTTCTTTTTAAAAGCCAAGAGCTGGGGCTGGGCAGGGCAGCCATGGCGGGGGCTGGAAGAGCAGGCGGGGATCAGGGGGGCACTCAGGGGGACTGTGGGAGCAGGCAGGGGACGGGGTCTAGTGGGGATCCCCCCCATGGTCCCCTCCCCCTTCCTCCAGCCTCCCCACCCCCTCCTTACCATCATGGAGTCCAGGTCCAGCTCCCTGTGGCAGCAAGTGGGGACTGCCCAAATCTCCAAAGCTCTCCAAATCTTTTCCAAATCAATTTGGAAATCTTCAAATTGATTCGGACCTTTTTATTGGTCTCCTGATTCAATTTGGATTCAGAGATTCGGCTGCCACATTAGGCCGAATCTCCGCCAAATTGAATCAGCACCCGAAGCTTCACATAGTCCTGTTGGCTATGCCTGTCTCATTTGAATAAAAGTCATATCCTTCCTTCCAGTAGAGTCGGAGTATTGTCACAGCCATGGTAGTCTGGGCAATATGCAAGGATCAAGGTGATTTTAGGGACCAACCATATAGGTAGGAAAGAATTCCCCACTTGAATTTCTATTTTTTCTATCACGTTTTTCTCCCAGTCAGTCTTTTTGCTTAGTTAGAGAAGTTTCTGGGCACCATGTGCCCTTCTTCTGTGCCCTTGTCTAACATCGCTCCCAAATTTTACACCTGGTCCAATAAAAGACACCCTCAAAGGGGTGTCCCCTGCCCCACCAACCCTTGCTTCTCACTTGCACTGCCTTTGTCAGGCACAGAGACACCAAGTCCCTAGCCCCATGCTTGACTTCCTTAAACCCCTCCTCCTCCTGCCACACCCTTTTCCTTCCTGACCCATAGTCTCTGCCACCCAATGAGCCCTCCCTGGAAGGAACCCGAAGAGAATACCTGTCCTTTACTGCCTCCCCCTAGGTCCCTTCAGGCACAGCTCAGCTGGTCTGCAGAAACAGGTGTAGGAATAGGGAAATGGCAGAGAAGGGAAGGGAGAACTAGAGCAGGGAGGAAAGGATCCTATGAAAATCAGACGAGTGGTGGGGGGAGGTCTTGTTGGGGCTGCAGCAGTCTGTGCTTGATCCCCAGTGGCTGAGACTTAGAGCAGCCCTTCTGATTTCAGTGCAGCAGTACCCAAGTCAGAGTGACAGACAGCTGGAGAGACAGGCAGAGCTGCCGGGGAACATGGGGATCAAAACTCCCCACCCAATGAAAGGGTACAAAACTGGGTATTTTGTCCTTGAGCCCAAACATTCCCAGGGGCCAGAACTGGCTGACATTTGGCAGAGCTCACAAGTGCCTTTTTCACCAAAGTTACTACCATGTTATTGCATGCTAGGGCCCTGTGACCTGAGCCTAAATTATAGACTGTGACTGAGAAGGGCCACAACCCTGAACTCATTAACCATAAGGAAGGGTTGGAGACCAGGCAGAGAGAGGGGCCCAACTGCCCCACATGGGCCAAACCTGAGTTTCTGGGGTTGGCACCTGTGGAACAGAAGGGATGGACAGATAATACAGGTGGCCCTAGGACCAGAAATAGGAATCAGATTCTCCCTCACCTGCATGAGCTTCAGGCAGAGAGACCTGCCACCATAAGGTCTGTTCAGGTCTGAACCTCTGGCCTGGGGTTCTGGAACTTGTCCTACAGCCTGATGTCAGCCCTCTATGAGGTCACAGTCTCTCTGGCCCAATCCCTAATATCCTACCAATGCATCTCTATGAAGTCACTGTCTGTCCCACCCACCCCCCCCAGCTGGGCTCATCCCCTACCCATTGCAGCCCCTTCACCGTATAGTCTTGCATATCCTGTATCCCATCCCTGACACTATCCAGCGCCCAGTGCCTGAGTCTGGGAAGAACAGAACAAGAGAACCCCATCCTGCACAACGGGAGACTAGTCTGGCCAGAGAGGGGACAGTTCTGCCAAAGTCCATGCAGTGAGTGTGAGCTGCCCAGTAGTGCAAGTCACAAAACCAAGGGTGTTTATACAGATGCTCCAGAAGTGTGCGGGGGGGGGGGGAATGCTTCAATTAGAGTGGCTCCAAGAGCCCCTCTAATTAAAGCTCCCAGAGCATCACATACATCAGTGTCCCCACACTGAAAAATGGTGGTGGGGGCACTTTAATGACAGCTTATTGAAAGACCTTTAGTTAAGGCAACACGGCACTATTTTTCAGTGCAGGGACACTGATACACATGATGCTGGAGTCTGCTGGAGCAAGGTAATTACCATGCTCCAGCAGACTCAAGTCTGTTGGAGCAGCCTTGCTACATTTCTATAGGTACCCCAACTGACCAAGTAACAAAATCAAGAGGCTGACATGGGAGTTAGGGGAACAGCCTCTGAACTACAACTACTTAGACCGTAAATGCTGGAGGCTGTAAGTGAATGCGACCGCCGGGCTTTGACTAGCCGTTCTTGGGCGACTTTGATCTGCTAGCGGATGTCACGCCCCTTCTGGGCCAGTTTGTCGTCAAGGTAGTTCTCTCCTCCTGTGTCACCAACCCCATTCTCGCCTGCCATGTCTTGGTGTTCCTCAGTAGTCGGGGTCAGTTAGCAGGTCCCTCGGTGGCCCAGGCTGAACCCGACAGTTGCTCACGGGGCTCCACCACCCCTACACCCTGGCCTCATGCCACCTTCGGTGGACCGCCTAGCGGTTATCCGCAGTCTTCCCTGCAGGTCACATTCACTGCTCCACATCCCAGAGCCAATGGTGGGAGGCTCTGCTTGCCCTGCAGGCCATCCCCTGCAGCGCTTCACTCCTCGATCCCATCCCACGGGGTACCTTGCCCACTATGGCCCCTACCAAGGCTTCCCTGCAGCCCCACCACAGGGCCGTATCCCTATAGTCTCTGCCCCATTGCTCCGGGTAGCCCAAAACAAAACAAATACACCTACACCAACCCATAACCTATTACCCGTCCCTGGACCCTTAAGGGGAGGGATGGCTCTCCACTCAGTGCGTCACTCCCCAGACTAGCTCCAGTCCATCACTTAACACCCCGGGTCCTGACAACGATCCCCGCCCCTATTGCAACCCCCTTCAGGGCTGTCTCCGGGTCTTCGCCCCTTGGCATGTCATCCTCCGCACCCTGTCGGACCGGCACTCCCACCTGGGTCCTGCTGCGCTCTAAGATGCCGCTTCCGCTCTCCCTCCACTCGGCCAGCCAGTCACTCCTCTATTGTTCAGCACGGGTCTTCGACGGGGTGCTCCTCTCTCCCCAGCCAGCGTCACCTCCTGCTTGTCGGTCTCCTCGGGGTCTGCTTGTGGAGCCCGCTCTGCCACTGGCATCGGTTGCAGCTCCATCTCCTGGCTATCCGCCCCCTCTGCAGCTGTGGCTACCATTTTTATTTTCACCGGCCAGTGTCTGACGCTGATGTTACCAGCCAGCCACAACTGTACAAAGAGGTGGCTAATGAGCCGTGCGGGTTCCTCTTTCTGCCCCATGTGCACCTCGTTCCCAGCTGTTGGTGAGTGCCCTGCATTACTTCACCTCCCGGGACAGAGAGAAACAGTGGAAAAACTTTAGTCATACCCTG